CGGCACCAGCCACGGGGAGGGGGCTGCAGCTGGGAGTGTCACCGGACCGCTCTCCGTGCCGGCAGCTGACACTGACCGGGGGCCGGTCTGACACTGTCCGGGGCTGCAGTGTCAGTGTGTCAGTTCAGCTGACAGTCGGAGCACCAGCAGCTGGACACAGCTGACACTGTATATATGTATAGACCACTGTCACTCCGACACTGACACGGACTGGGACGGCACGACGGTGTGACGTCACACAGGCCCCCAACACGGCCTCCAACAGCTGCACCCGGCTGTGGGCACGGACACACCGGCTGCAGCCAGTAACGCTCGCCGCTGTGCTGGAGCCGCCCGCTGGCCACAGCAGCGACGGGGGCTGACAATCGTCCCGCACTGCAACGGAAAGGCCACACGACGGCAACGGGGGTGACTGCTGTGGTGGGATTTTCCGATAAATACGGGAATGGTTGTGAGCTCGGTATTATTTAGTGTGTATTTGACGAGAGGTGACCGATTGATTTGGTGAGCGCGTTGATGGACAGGCGAGGGTGATAAGTTGATTTTGTGAGTGTGTATCTGGACAGGCGAGGGTGATTAGTTGGTTTTGTGAGTGCGTTGATGGTCAGGCGAGGGTGATTAGTTGATTTTGTGAGTGCGTTGATGGACAGTCGAGGGCACGTGGTTGACAGCGAGACAAGCCGGCTGCTGGATGTGCTGTGACAGTCAGGGGTGTCGATTTTTCAAAATGGTTGGGGGTGCTGAACCCCTGCACCGGGTGAAAGATTGTAGCTTTGCCATGGGGCACAACCGTACCTACAAGGCATGGTTGTGTATCCCCATAAGGTACTGATAATCCCGGGATTTCCACTAATATTTCCCAAAGGTTGAACGTTCTTCAAAATCATTCTGCTCGTCCTAGTACTTGGCTACCTCATTACATAAACATCTTTCCGAAAAAAAAAAAAACGCGTACATTTGCCGGCAGCTCGGCAGCAGCCCCGACACCTCTGTAATAAGGTGACAGAAACCGATGACCGCGATTAGCACCGGTGCAGCAGCCCCTGCGGTCCGCAGGGGCGGACATTGCGCGGGAGGCAACGGTATAGCTACGAGGCTCTGGCGTTTATCAGACGATCACAATAATCGCTGAAAAAAATAACAGGTGATTGCAATTCGATATTTATGGGTTTACGATTTTCCTCAGTGGCGTAGCCAGGTGGGCCCGTGAGCCCCCCCCCCCCGCCCCATCAGGTTCAGGGGCCCATCGGATTATTCGGGCCTGAGGGGCACTGCGGCGCCAATTGGCCACTGAGGGTCCACGTTGGCTATATTTGGACTCAGAAGGGCCCCACAGGGCTCGTAAGAACACCTCATGGGCCCAAAAGTACTAACATTAAGATCTCCATAAGGGCCCCAAGCCAGCCTCTGAGGGCCACTTGCCGGCCTCTGGGCGTCTTAACCGGCCTCTAGGGGGCCAGCTCTAGGAGCTGCACACCCGCCTGTAATGGCCCCACACCCATTTCTCTGAGGGCCCCTATAACGGCGACTGTGAGGGCCCTCACCGGCGCCCCTGAGCGCCACACCGGCGTCTCTGAGGGCCCCACACCCCTAACTCTGAGGCCCTATACATGCCTTTAAAAACCCTACATGGGCGGTTCTGAGGGCCCTTGACAGTTACCAGCGACCCTGACGGCCCCACACAGGTGACACGGAGGGTCCCAGCGGCGTCTGAGCGCACCATGCCAGTCTCTGAGAACCCCACAAGGCTCCTGAAGGCACCGGTGACCTCTTGATATCTTCTTGTCGGCCTATGAAGGATCCGTTCCGTAACAGCAGTTCTGAGGGCCCAACGCGCGCCTGTGATGGCCCTATACCAGTGTCTCTGAGAGCCCCCACACCGGCGCCTCCAGTCCGAGGGCCCCACATTGCCATATCTGAGGGCCCCACACTAGTGCCTCTTAAGGCCCTATATCGGCGGCTCTGAGGGCCCAACATCGTAGCTTCTGAAGGCCCAACAAGTGCGCATGTGACGGCCACCCTGCCACCGGTGACATTTGAAGGCCCCACACCGGCGACTCTGAGGGCCCCATCAGCGCCTGAGCCCGTTCCGGTCTCTAAAGATGACCCCACAGGGTTTCTGAAGGTACATACCACCGGCCTCTGATGACCCTTTGCCGGCCTCTGAGGGCCCGTCGCCGGTCTCTGGAGCCCCCTGCCGGCTTGTAAAGGGTACGCGCCAGCAGCTCTAAGGGTCCGACACCCGTGTACGACGGACCCACACCATCTTTGCAACTTAACGTTTTTTTTTTCGCCCTTCTTCTTAAATCTAAATTTTCTTTTCTTTACATCTTTATTTCATGCCTTGTAAATTGCGTAATTGTTTTATTTTTAGTAGTGAACTACTGCAGAACAATTATTTTCCTCAAGCAGAGTTATTGAGGGACAAAACCATTGGGGGTGCCCGGAAAACCATTGGGGGTGCTCATTTGAGCATTGGGGGTGCTGCAGCACCCCCAAAGGTATACAAATCGACACCCATGGTGACAGTGTGTCGGTGCTTGTTGTCGGTGTCTGGTGGTGCAGCTGGCGGCGGCCCGCTGCCATACGGGAGCGGTCGGTCGGCAGGCCGCTCGGCGGCTCGTCCAGCCGGTAGTTGGTGTCAGATCTCTGAGGCCGGTGGGTCAGAGCCGGTGAGCCCGGTCAGGGCACGGCCGGAGCACGGCCACGGCCCCGGCGGCGGCACGGCGTGCTTGTCAGTGGGCCGGCCGTGACCTGGTGGTGACCGGTCGGTCTGTCTGCCGACCGACCACCGGTCGAGCCCCGACCGACCACTGGGACGGCACCGGTGGATGATCAGGGGGCGGGCGGGACATTTGAAACTATTATGGAAGTTGTTATGGAAGACGAAGCTGTTATGGAAGTTATGGAAGACCATCGTTATTCGTTCGTCACTGCTAACGCTGCCGGCCGGCCGTGGCGGCTGGAATGGCGGGCCGGGCACGGGCCGGCCGGCTCATCCGCCGGCGGTGGGAGGCCCGGTGTCAGCTGTGGGTCACTGACCAGCACCGAGCACTGCAGTTGTGAGGGGGACGGGTGCAGGCCATACAACACACATAGAACTGCAACAGGGAACTACTTACATGACACCAGTCAGAGTGGCCAAAACACATGTGCAATGTGCAGGGATCTCAGAAAAGGTATATGTGTGGTCTGATATCACGTAGTTATCGTGATCTTGGATCCGATGGGATCCTAGATCCAGCCAAATGGCTCGAGACGGCAGCTGATTTACCAGAGGCGGCTCTCAGACCTGATCCCAAATGACGGCGGGTAAAACGGTGTGTCGTATACAGGTTATCGTCCGCCCGGCACCGGGGAAGGCGGTGAAATACGGCGAGTGGCGATCCAGCCAGTCAGTGTGTGGCCGCCGGTTAACGGTGAACTGCCACGCTGGGCCCGTATTATAGATATATACGACACCTGTTGATGGTGTGCACGGAACAGAAGGACCAGGCCTCGACGGCCGACGGTGTGCTCTGGAGCCGGGACCGCAGCTCGGCAGGTCACAGCAGCGGCGGCACAGCGGCGCAGAAACACCCCCCCCCCCCCTCTGGTGGAGCCAAACTGTACTCAGGTCACCGGGACATTACCACAAATGATGAGGTGAGCTCCTAGTGTATTAGTCAAAGCGCAGCCGATTATCAGTAGCGTGGCCAAGTGATAACTAAAATCTAAAAAGCCGTTCCGGAGTCGGAGTCAAGGCAGCTTGATCGACACAGACTCCGACTCCGACTCCCAATCGGTCGGTGGCCCAATTACCCCCTGTACGAAGCAGAGGACACAAAACATGGCGGCGCACACCCGGGCCGTGACGGCGTGCTTCCGTGAACCGAGTCGGACAGACGCGAGGACACTCGTTATGACCGGTGCCGTCAGAGCTCTACACAATTCAGTAGCATCCAGCTGACTATATCCGACCGTCGAATAGCCGGCTATATCATACCCAGGGTTACATTATCCACAATACCCGACCGGTAATTACCCACTGCATCGCATCACTTCATCCAATTACCCACAATACTCGCCCGGTAACTAATTGCCCTAAGCTACAGAATGGTAACAGCTGAAGCGTCTCCTCTCATGTATTTAATAGACATCTGACTGACCAATCTGACCAACAAATCAGCTGACTGACCAATGGTCAGCTGACGGACCAATCAGCTGACGGACCAATCAGCTGACGGACCAACCAGCTGACTGACCAATCAGCTGACTGACCAGTGGTCAGCCGACTGACCAATGGTCAGCTGACGGACCGGTCCCCGCCCCGGGCCGGGTGACGGCCGCCGGCCGGGACCGGAGCGGGCGGGCGCGGCGCGGCCGGCCGCCGTCTGAACTGGCACCGCGTGTATACTGCCAGCTCGGACGGCAGCTAGCCAGTAGTCGAGTAGAGCTGTCCGTGTGGGACGTGTCACAACACGCTCAGCACGGCGCTCAGCACCGCCGAGCCGAGGTGCAGCCAGACCCGGGGGGAGCGGTCACGTGACCGAGCCGTCCGACTCCACCGGGGGACGGTCACGTGACCGAGGCCGGCCGTGTCGCCGGGACCAGGCGCGGTGAACCGAGTCGGACGGTCAGAGACGTGTGTTCTACATACAGAATAGCGTAATGCCACGATCGGTAGTCTCTCCAGCACATCACTTTTCACTGTCCAGTTACCCACAATACCCGCCGGGTAATTACCCACTACATCACACCTCACTGTCGAATTACCCACAATACCCGCCCGGTAATTACCCACTACATCACATCCGTGTGCTACTACTATATCTACACTACTACTACTACAACTAGATCACTACACTAGAGCGGACACGGGGGCCGTGTGCCGGCTGACCGGCGCCGCTCTCAGTGCCGGCTGGTGCAGCACACACGGCAGCAGTCAGCTGGCGGCCCCGGCCGACTGGCTCGGCCTCTCTGCAGTCAGCTCATCACTGCACGGTCGGTAGTGCAGCGCATCAATCCTCCCACTCATACACCCAGACCCGATAACTAGCCTGGCTCTTCAGCTGACAGTACATCTCCTCTGTGGACAGAGCAGAGACACGTCTGAGGTGGACACCTCACACACAGACAGACACACAGACAGCGGTACAGCCATGTCCACACACCGCCGGCCAGTGACGTCACACACAGGACAGACGGCTGAAATGACGTCACCGTCGGCCGTGGTGGCCGTGACGCGTCACGTCACCGTCCGTGACGTGGCCTGCGGCGGTGCTCGAGTGTTTGTGTCTGAGAGGCCGGTGGCGCCGTGCAGCGTCTGTTGTGAGGGACTGACTGGTCAGAGGCGCGGCGCGCGGCGCCCTCTCACCTACCGGGGACACGGAGACAGATGGTACGGGGCTGGCCATCACTATCCCGGCCCAGGTCCGCCTCCTTCAGGGCGGTCAGCACGGCCCGGCCGGTGTCTGCCGTGCAGTGAAGGTACAGAACACACAGCTGCCGACACGACTTCACCAGTCTGTAACAGAGCAGAGCAGCAGAGCCGTCACACACAAACACAGCGGCACCAGCCGGCCGGACGTACGAGTCAGTGTTAGTGTGTCAGTATTTCAGTGTCGGTGTGTTGGTGTCAGTGACAATGCGTTAGTGTCAGTGTGTCAGTGTCAGTGTGTCAGTGTCAGTGTGTCAGTGTCAGTGTGTCAGTGTCAGTGTGTCAGTGTCAGTGTGTCAGTGTCAGTGTGTCAGTGTTAGTGTGTCAGTGTCAGTGTGTCAGTTTCAGTGTGTCAGTGTCAGTGTGTCAGTGTCAGTGTGTTAGTGTCAGTGTGTCAATGTCAGTGTGTTAGTGTCAGTGTCAGTATGTCAGTGTGTCAGTGTCAGTGTGTCAGTGTCAGTGTGTCAGTGTCAGTGTGTCAGTGTCAGTGTGTCAGTGTCAGTGTGTCAGTGTCAGTGTGTCAGTGTCAGTGTGTCAGTGTCGGTGTGTCAGTGTCTGACAGGACAGCCCTCGCCAGTGTCTGCTGACTGACCTGGTGACCGCTGCTGCTGTGAAGGCCGTCTCTGCCGGCCGCTGGAGGTCCCCCAGTGTAAGGTACCACAGCCCGGGGCAGCCGCTGAGACTGTCCAACACGGTGTCAGGGACGCCGCCGGACAGGGTGAGATTCCACAGCTCACGGCACCTGGTGAGGGGCTCCAGGCTCACGGTGTCAGGGACGCCGCCGGACAGGGTGAGTTCCCACAGCTCAGGGCACCTGGTCAGGGGCTCCAGGCTCACGGTGTCAGGGACGCCGCCGGACAGGGTGAGACGCTCCAGCCCAGGGCACCTGGTGAGGGGCTCCAGGCTGCCGGTCGTGAGATCATTACAATCTGGAAAACACACAGACACACATACAGACACGATCAGTTAGCTGTAATACATGGCGATATATGGAAAAAACGAAACAGCTATGAATTCGCATGGTTTTATGGACACAGAAGATGATATAACAGTGGTTCTATATGATATGCCATATAAACATGAATGAATGTGATAACATGAATGAATGAACATGATAACATGAATGTCCATGTTATCTATGGATATGCAATCAGTTCAGCCAATGCATTGAAGTGCACCAAACATTGCATTTCAATCGCAATATGTAGGTATGTTCAACTAACTATGAGCGAATATGTCACTGATCGTACAGTCCTCCTCGGAGGAGCTCAGTTGGCTTCATTATTTCACAAAGCACATTGGCTATGAATCACACCTGTCTCCATGAGGTCCGACAACGACACACCGTTACTCGGTGTCCGCCATTCGCTGATCTCCTATATCAACGGCCTGTCCGTGCTGCCGCTGCTCACCGTATATATCCAGTCGGTTGACCGTCCGTCCCAGGTCAGCCAGGTGACTGATGGTGTCGGCAGCCACCCCCTGGAGAGATACCGACAGACCACTCCCGTACCCTCCCGGCCACCTCGGCTTCGTCACCTCCGGCCCTGTCGGACAGAACTGTGTCAGCTGACTGCAGTCGGACAGAGCTGCCGCCAGCTCCCTGCTGCACTACTGACACCAGAGTGTCAGACACTGACACAGTCAGCATTGAAACAGACGAGCGGCCGCACAGCAATTTTTTAGCAGCAGCAGTAATATGTAGAATGTGAATATGAACATAATACGTATGTGCGAAAAGTATATGCGTAATACAGTAGTCTATGAAACTTCTTATGCTACTCTCATTGGTTGCACTATATCTAATAATCATTCCCCATTGAAATACTTGCTCTCTAATCGTAACAATGCCTGCATTCCCGTGCTGGCCGCCTTCGATCGTGGCGCCACCTATACTCTGTATAACCGCCGCGCCAGGGCCGCGGCCAGTCAGTCTCGTCAGTCTGCTCAGACTCGTCGTCAGCGAGCTCTCTATGTAGTCAGTCAGTGTCAGTTGTCGATCAGGCGTGCGTTCGACATCCGGAAAATGAGGGATAATTATCCGGGATCACCGGTAATAATTTGGTATTGCAAGGATTATCGATGCAATAAGTCATATTTTTATATTGCTTTTGCTTCAGTAATGGCTCTTTTACTCATTGGCATGTGCGTTGTGCACGGTGTCAGCCTAAAACACCGAATGATCCAGTTGATCCCGGAAAATTATCCCTGATTTTCGGATGCCGAATTCGCACTAATACTCAATACGTTTGTTCGGAAATTTGCTGCTTGTGACAATGCAACTATCGCTAGTACCTCAACTTTTAAATCGCCCCGTGACGTTACACTAATATTCCACGCATATGCCACAAGCATGGACACTATCGAAGGGCATCCATTGAACCCCTTCCCCCTCTCACCACAATACGAGACGGGTGCGTATCATTTAGGCCAGGGTTCATAATGTCCAGGGCACAATGTGTCCAGTGCTCGAATTGGCCAGTGCCTTGAATTGGCCAGTGTTCACATTGTCCAGGGATTACATGGTCCAAAAGTGGCCAACTGGCTGCAGATAGGGTAAATTCAAAGAGGCCAGGGTTCATAATGTCCAGGGCACGATGTGTCCAGTGTTCAAAATGGCCAGGGTTCATAATGTCCAGGGCACGATGTGTCCAGTGTTCGAAATGGCCAGGGTTCACAATGTCCAGGGCACGATGTGTCCAGTGTTCAAAATGGCCAGTGCCTTGAATGGGCCAGAGTTCATAGTGTCCAGGGATTACATAGTCAACCCAACCCAACCAAACCTAACCTAACCTAACCTAACCTAACCTAACCTAACCTAACCTAACCTAACCTAACCTAACCTAACCTAACCTAACCTAACCTAACCTAACCTAACCTAACCTAAGGTAATGATGTTTGCCTACCAGGGATAAGGAAATAGTTTCTCGCATGAATAGACTGCAAGCAATAGTAAATCAAATATTTTTAGGTTAAGTGGTTATGCATCAGGCTTCAGGCCTTCGGCCTGAAGCCAGATACATAACCACTTAACCTAAAAATATTTGATTTACTATTGCCTGTAATCTCTCCTAAGGCATTGCCTTCGGCACTGCACTGCTTTGCATTGAGCTGATTCCGTGTTTTTTTACATAATGACGTCACTTTCAGTGACTATGTAATCCCTGGACATTATGAACTCTGGCCCATTCAAGGCACTGGCCATTTTGAACACTGGACACATCGTGCCCTGGACATTATGAACCCTGGCCATTTCGAATACTGGACACATCGTGCCCTGGACATTATGAACCCTGGCCATTTTGAACACTGGACACATCGTGCCCTGGACATTATGAACCCTGGCCTCTTTGAATATACCCTATCTGCAGCCAGTTGGCCACATTTGCACCATGCAATCCCTGGACATTATGAACTCTGGCCCATTCAAGGCACTGGCCATTTTGACACTGGGCATAGCGTACCCTGGACATTATGAACCCTGGCCAGGATGAATGCTCCCCATACGAGACGAGTAATATACACGATTAACGATGAAACTTGCTAGTTGAGGCTGATCAGTTCGACCATTTGCCGTCTCCCCTGTTCATTTGCATATACCGGCATTACATGTGTGATCTGCGGTATATCACCTCTGACATTGAGGCGCCAGAGGCGCTCCGGCAGCTGCCCCCTCAGTCGCGGGAGGTCGGCGGCGGTGACTGATAGGCATTGCAGCTCGGGGCACCTGGTGAGGGGCTCCAGGCTGCCGGCCGTGTGATCAGTACAATCTGGAAAACACACAGACACATATACAGACAGGATCAGTTGGCTGTAATACATGTCGATATATGACAAAACGAAAAACACCTAATAACTCACATGGTTTTATGGACACAGTAGACAATGGTAAGACAGTGCTATTATATGATATATGCAATTAGTTAAGCAAATGCATTGAACTTCATTGAACAGTGCAACACAATTGTTATGAGTATGATCAACTAACTCTGAACGAATATGTCACTGAGTGAACAGTCCTCCATTTTGGAGCTCAATTGGCTTCATTATTTCGCAAAGCACATTGGCTATGTATCACTTCTGTCTCCATTAGGTGCGACACCGGCACACCGTTACTCGATGTCCGCCATTCGCTGAGCTCGTATATCAGCGGCCTGTCCGTGCTGCCGCTGCTCACCGTATATCTCCAGTAGTGTGACCGTCCGTCTCAGGTCAGCCAGGTGACTGATGGTGTCGGCAGCCACCCCCTGGAGAGATACCGACAGACCACGAACCAACGGGTTCCATTCCGGCCACCTCGGCTCCGTCACCTCCGGCCCTGTCGGACAGAGCTGTGTCAGCTGACTGCAGTCGGACAGAGCTGCCGCCAGCTCCCCGCTGCACCACTGACACCAGAGTGTCAGACACTGACACAGCCAGCACTAACACAGCTGAGCGGCTGCACAACGATATTTTTACCAACAGCATACATACGTAAATATTCAAATATGAGCAACGTAAGTATTACCTACGATTTTTGCAAGGCACATTGGCTTAGGCACTAGGCAGCCAGTCAAGGTATAGTAACGGATCAGGTTGGTAGACTACATAAATGTATGGTTCGCAGTGGTTGTAATCTAACCATTTCAAATTACAATAATTGCTACAATAATATTTCATGCACGCACTTGATGCTCACACTATATGCAAAGGCATGCATTGCATCACTCTAACAATACCATATAACACAAACAAGGCTGTAAGATGTTGGCTGAATTTGATCGGTTCGTCCATTTGCCGTCTCCCTGTCCATTTGTTTATCTATATGCATTGTCCATTATACCGGCATTACATGCATGATCCGTGGTATCTCACCTCTGATATTGAGGCGCTTGAGGCCCTCCGGCAGCTGCCCCCTCAGTCGCGGGAGGTCGGCGGCGGAGACTGACAGGCGTTTCACAGTCTTCCGTGAGTTCCGCAGCTCCGTCAGCTCGCTGTCACCGACTCCGGCCGGAAGGATGACAGTGTCTGGCTCCACCCTGATGATGGCACCACGAAGTTGACTTGGGATAGTAGTAATTTGTGCTGGAAAGGTGATTGAACCAATGTCAGGCATTTGTCTAGGTCAAACATAGTACACTTACCTACAGGTGTAGAAAACACAGAGTGAAAACTGTTTGTGGCTACAATGCTGTGATAATTCCGTGTCTGAGTAAATATGTACTTTATCAAAACCATGTAAATTTAATAAATTACGGCGACTTTCCGTAACAGCGTACTCAACAAACAAAATGATAATGGGTCTTTGAGTTAAAACAAAAATCACAATTATTTAGTACATTAGGAGAAAGTGGGGTAAGACGGGCACCTTAACTTTGGAGCCATTTTTCGGCCGGTTAGAAACATCATAGAAACGGGAAACTGAGTGAAAACCTTTGTTAGACATTTTACTTCCATTTGCCAGAAGATGAGACTTTGACCTGATTCAAAAAATAAACTGCAGCTTTGTTTGCAAAACCTTGCAAAACCCCGTCTTACCCCACCCCATGGGGTAAGACGGTCACATGGGTAAGGCAAGACGCCCAGCTTCTTTCACCGACCAGCGCAGCTCGCAACAAATACCCGATATTAGCCGCATTGATACAGTCGCTCGTTGGTCTGAAGTGCTTCGGAAATGGCAGTATACGAGATTCGTGCAGAAGGCGTATGCTCGTATATAGACCCTAGTTCCTAGTTATATCGACCCTAGTTCAGAAGCCATGTAGAACCGTTTTTCACATTCATTATTCGAGAATGAACTGTACCGAAGGAATATTGCTAACATGTCTGTGAGTTTCGGAATCGAGCATATTCTTATACAGGGGCGGATCCAGGAAAACTCCAAGGGGAGGGTCATGAATCGAAGTGGTGCCCCTACCTATACCCAAAATTAAAAACTCAACGGATTTCGTCCACTTCATTTTGGTGGTGCCCCCATTTTCAGTTTTTTTTTCTTTTTATTTTTTTTTAGTCAGTATCTTAACTCTTAGCAACAACCACATTTACCAATTGTAAGCAAGTATATATGAATGTGCTATGTGTATATATGTTGTTGACGCTGAGTAGTGAGTACTTACCAGGAACGTTATCAGGTAAGCAAATCGTTGTCAGTCCGACGAACTTGACCCTGGCGTCTAAAGCGTCTGTCCTCGACACTTCAGGCTTGTCAGGGGCACCAAAGTCCTTCCAGGGACACCACAAACCTGTCAGGGGCACCTACGGCCTTGTAGGGGCGCCACAGGCCCGCCAGGGGCACCACAGGCCTGCCAGGAAGCAGGGGCACCACAGGTCTAGCAAGACGACAGGAATGTCAGGGGCACAACGGGCCTGTTGGGCCCATGAGCACCCCTAGGGGCAGGGGCACCACAGTCCTTCCAGGGGCATCGCAGGCCTGTGAGGGGCACCAGCGGCCTAGCAGGGGCACCAGTCAACACAGGCCTGCCAGGGGCACCACAGACCTGCCAGGGGCACCAGAGGCCTGCCAGGAGCACCACCGACCTCGCAGGGGTAACTTGGGCCTGTCAGGGCCCAGGGGCACCACGGGCCTGTCGAGAGGCACTTCAGGCTTTTAAGGGGCACCATAGTCCTCTCCGGACGCAGGGGTAGCAGGGGCACCAGAGGCCTGCCAGGGGCACTACAGGCCTAGCAAGGGCACCACTGGTCTATCAGGGGCACCACGAGCCTGTCATAGCCAGGCATCTCAGGCTTGTCAAGGCCCAGGGGCACCACAGGTCTGTGAGGGGCACAAGCGACCTAGCAGGGGCACCAGTCAACACAGGTCTGCCAGGGGCGCCACAGACCTGCCAGGGGCACCACAGACCTGCCAGGGGCACCAGAGGTCTGCCAGGGGCACCACCGGCCTCGCAGGGGCACCTTGGGCCTGTCAGGGGCACCACGGGCCTGCCGAGGTGCACTTCAGACTTTTCAGGGGCACCAGTCCTCTCCGGGCGCAGGGGTACCAGCGGCCTAGCAAGGGCACCAGAGGCCTGCAAGGGGCACCAGCGGCCTAGCAAGGGCACCAGAGGTCTGTCAGGGGCACCACAGGCCTAACAAGGGCACCACGGGCCTGTCAGGGGCACCTCAGGCTTGTCAGGGCCCAGGGACACCACAGTCCTTCCAAGGGCACCGCAAGCCTGTCAGGGGCACCAGAGGCCTGCCAGGGGCACCACAGGCCTAGCAAGGGCAACACTGGCCTGTCAGGGGCACCTCAGGCTTGTCAGGGCCCAGGGGCACCATAGTCCTTCCAGGGGCATTACAAGCCTGTCAGGGGCACCTCAGGCTTGTCAGGGCCCAGGGGCACCACAGTCCTTCCAGGGACATTACAAGCCTGTCAGGGGCACCAGAGGCCTAGCAAGGGCACCACAGGCCTGCCATGGACACCACAGGCCTGCCAGGGGCACCACCGGCCTTGCAGGGGCGCCTCAGGCCTGTCAGGGGCACTACGTGCCTGCCGGGGACACTTCAGGCTTGTCAGGGGCGTTACAGTCCTGTCAGGGCCCAGGGGCACCAGGCCCGTGGTGTCCCTGCTAGGCCTGTGGTGCCCCTGGCGGTCCTGTGGTGCCCCTGTGAGGACTGTGATACCCCTGATAGGCCGGTGGTGCCCCTGGCAGGTCTTTGGGCCCCCGGGCCTCAAGGGGGGGGGGGGCATGACCCATGTGACCCCCCCCTTGGATCCGCCCCTGTTCTTATAAGAAATGTTTCTTTTTTTCCTACAGCAACAAAAATATTTTCACCATTTACAGACCCATCGAATTCATAGTTGCCCGTCTTACCCCAAACTCAATGTCAGAAGTTAAGCACGATTTTGCTCTGTGGACAATTTGATGCAGACAAAGCAAATCCGTGGTAAATGAACACCGGTGGTATATGAGTGTACCACAAGTGATTCCAAGTTTTTAACTCTATAGTGCTGCACACAAAAGCTTCAACAATACATCATGGATGTTTTCAATGAAATGAGTGTTTTAATTAACCCTCGCCCCGTTGGGGGGGGGGGGCATTTATGCCCCCCTGTGGTTTGTCCTGAATAGCAAGAAAACGGCGGCGCACAGCGCCGCTAAATTTTCAGTACCTTCCCGGGCATCAATTTGACACCTTCACACCAAATTTCAAGTCTTAGGTCACCTTAGGTCAGGAGTTATTGAGGTCAAACTCAGGTCATGTTCGAGCAAAAATGAGCAAAAAACATGCAATCTTGAAACGCTCACCAAATCTACAGTTATCAAGCAATTTCAACGTTCTTTACATAGTCTAGTAGAAAAAAGCGGCGCTACAAAACTGCGATCTTGGATTTTAAAAATTTGGTTTTTTAACCCAAAAAAATCAAAATAATTGATTTTTTTCTTTCAAAAACTAAAAAAATCTGAATTTCAAAAAAAATGGAATATATGTGATAGTCCCTGCACAGTGCACACTTCTATATACATACCAAATTTCAGATCGATATCTCGTTTTTTGGCCAAGTTATAGCGACAAAACTGTTCAAAAATGATGACGTCAAATTTTTTAACTCAATTTTTAGCGATTCTAGACCACGTGCGGCAAAACAAAGACCACCATTGAACTCCCCGTGACGAGCGGCATCGATTCGATACCCATTTTATGCAAAAATATCAACTTTGAAATTTGACCTAATTTGACCTGACCTTGACCTGACCTTGACCTGACTTTGACCAAAACGTGACCTAAGCTGGCCCCAAAGGCTGCCTGACCAACATAATCGCATTTGTCAAGTAAAATGGACCATAAAACATGTATCACACGACACTTTCATATTGTGACCCCCCAGTGACCTGACCTCTGTGACCTGACCTGATATCAGTGACCTCAAATAGCAAAATATGTGTTTGAAGAACATTTCCCTATCAATGATTTTGAATGAAATGCATTTTACTCGATTTTACCACGCATTTCTTGAAATGCCTGTACACGGTGAAAATTCGACCTTTGACCTGACCTGTGACGTCATCGATTTGACCTAGGTCAATAAAATTGGGTCACAAGGTAGTTCCCTGATAGGGCTATCCAACACCGTTTGCCGCTTGTCGCTAGGTTGCGTGGTTCTCGACCAGACTGCAAAGTATGGCACGCAGGTCGACGAGGCGCACCGGCCCAAGTTCAAAATCCGCACCAACCCTTCAAACTGAGCCGGAAAATCCGTACCAAAGCGAGCCGAGAGCCCAAAATATCCGCACCGAACCCATAGGCAATTGTAATGCAAGGGACTTCATCCACCTCACTATAATTATTTCCCCTCCAATTTCAGTTTCACGAGCAACGCTCACCACGGGACCGCGCCGCGCGCTTGTACCGGAAGTTTGAAATAGAGCAAAAATAGACGGACGCCGGTGACAACAGGGCGCCGGAGGGCATATTGGGTCACGTGACATTCGGAACTTCTCCCCTCTCTGTGGGCCTTCTACATGCTAAATGTCACGTGTGAATTTGACGAGCCTTGATAAATCGCCCCAACAAACTTTCGTATGAATAAAACTAATGACGTCATTCTAAAGTAGCGTGCTGATTGGCAATTCAAACCATCTGTTCGCAAATGTGACATACCAGTCACCACCGCAACATCACGTTAATTTCCGAGGCGAGAATGGATTTGTTCTGCCGCAATTGTTACTTCGTAGAGTAAATTTAAAACCTTTCTCCGTCACCGTGCGTCACCGTAGCTGGCACGCATTTGTAGGGCTTTCCAGAGAACAGTCAACAAGGAAACCCGGGCGGGTAAGAACCGAGGAAGACCAAGCGAAGTCCACACCGCCTCAAGGTTCAGGCCAAATCCGCACCGCACCAGGCAAAATCCGCACCGCACCACTCAAAAATCCGCACCAGCCGAACAAGCCCGCACCGACGAGATCTCGTCGAATTTGCCATACTTTGCAGTCTGGGTTCTCGAGATCTTGGGGGGGGGGCAAAATGCCCCCCCCAACAGGGCGCGTTGCTCGGCAGAGCCCAACGGTGCGCGGGTTAAAGAAATCAAAAGAAAAGATTATCGACTGAACACAAATTCACCAGACTTCAATGGTAGTGTGTAGTGGGAAAGGCAATTCTGGTCCTAATTTTTCTCGCTCGTAGCGCTATTGGTTTGTTCTGCAGAAGGGGTGCCCGTCTTACCTACCCTGACCGTCTTACCCCACTTTCCCCTATATTCCGAACTAGGCATATTTTATTGATGTCATTTGATCAATCTGACAGCTTTTGAAAACTTTTCACATAAGTATTTAGTTCAGCTCTTATGTGTAGCTAATTATTTCAATTTTGTATCGTTATAAATTTTGTAGCGTAAATATTATGTCCAATACAGGCCCAAACCATTGACCAGCACCATTCACCATACGACTTGTCATCCTACGGCTTACCATGGCTTATGGCTTCTGTCTTACCTTAGAATGAGGCAGCATTACCTGCGGTACATGTAATATGTGTTGTATCAAGGCATTCTTGGTTTGATTTAGGCTTCAGATTTTCAGAGATAAACTGCTTCTCCACGTTATTTATGAACATTTGCAAAAAAAAAGTTCCTTAGAGCAAAAATAACAAGCAAGGAGCTGTGCCGACGGCCTGTTTTCCTGTTCTTCGTGTCCCCGTGTCGCCCCTGCCCCGTTCAGGAGCGCCCGGCAGCGCCACCTGCACCTGACCAGTCCGGCAGCGTTTGGGGTCGCCGCGCACCGCCGACAATCAGCTGACGCGGCCGGCAGCGCGTCTCAAGGTCACTGGAGGTCAGCCGGGCCGCGGCCCGCTGGGGTGGCCTTGACGTCACAGCCAGCGAGCGCTGAGCGCCGGAACAGTTACTGTTGTTTATCCCTTCCTAGCCATTCATATATGAGTAACTTCAATCGTTGCTCACCATCCGTGACTAGTAGCGTAATCCGTGACCCCAGCTCCGTGGCCAGGTGACTGATGGTGTCGGCAGCCACCCCCTGGAGAGATACCGACAGACCACTCCCGTACCGTCCCGGCCACCTCGGCTTCGTCACCTCCGGCCCTGTCGGACAGAGCTGTGTCAGCTGACAGCAGTCGGACGGAGCTGCTGCCGGGTCGGGAGGCGGCTGACACTGTGGTGTCAAACCCTGACACAGACGACACTGACAACACCAGGGTCGATCGGCACTGTTGGACAGTAATTGAAAATTGCGCACAATGCATGCACTAGTGTGTATAACCTACGCTTATACATGCGTCAATTAATTAATACAGTTCAGTACATACAGGTCATACCTATTCGTTTGAAAGAGTATAAAGAAGGTACAATACAGTGGCTAATATTTGTGTAGCATGTAGGTAGCATGGCACATACCTATTATGTCCGCTGAACGTTTATCACTGAAACTGCTACTTTATGTATAGTCGACTACAGAACTGAATGATGTTCCACTTTTCACAGGCAATTATTTGCCTGGAGTGGTAGGCTGTGCCGCATCACACGGGGTGAGTTCACAAATTATAGCTTCGTCCCAATGCTCACAGATAAACGGCACAGCTTAGCGCTCCGGTCAACTGATAGCTTCTGAGGAGTGGAACATCATTCTGTAATCGACTATACTATTTAACACGCGCAGTGGAAGGGTTGCGAGTACTACGCCCAGTGGAAGGGGGGGCGGATGTCGCCCCCCTAAGATCTCAGCTCCCACTGGAGCTAGAAAGACGAAATTTGGAGGGTAGGTGGAGGCCATGGGGAACTCTGTTGTGTGTGCATTTCATGACCCTAGGTCAATGTCTTCAAGGTCAAATGAGGTCAAATGAGGTCAAATCTGCCATATTTGCGACTTTTTTGCGTTTACACGCCGATAACTCGAAAAGGTACCATCTGATTTTATTTTTTCTTTCACTATACGAAAGACCAAACATTTGTGAGTATGTATAGTGAATTTCAAGTTAATCCAACGATGAATATGGCAGTTAGAAGCCTACTAAGGGTAAGATGTCGCCGGCTGAAGCGGGATCGGCCAACGCGGGAAACGCGGCAATCACAATTTTGTGTTTACACACTCATAACTCAAGCTGTTACCGGCCGATTTTCAAAATTCTTTGACCATATGATTGCCTGTACATTTCTCAGTCTTCTCACTAAATTTGACGCGAATCTAATGTAATCAGAGTTAAGGAGCGCGATGTAAAGACGGAACCGTCCCGCCCCGGCACAGTCTACAATTCAGGCGGCGCGCAACAGCTAGCGCCGGCCGCCGCGCCGCCGCGCCGCCGCCGCGGCAGGATGTTTGACTTTACACCGCTATTTCTAGAAAAAGTTGTGAACCGATTTTCTTATTTATTGCACGGGAAGATCCGCAATTCAATTATGGACAGATAGCCAAAATTTCACACTAATTATATGTTTGCGGCGCGAGTTATTGCCGAAAAACAGGAGAGGTGGGCGAAATCCGCCCCCCCCCCCCTTCCACTGCGCGTGTTTTAACCCTCGCCGGCCGAGGGGGGGGGGAGCGGGTGCCGCCCCCCATAGGGTTTTTGCGATAGCTCCGAACACGCTGGCGATGGAGAGCTGAAACTTAACATACCTGACCTTTGATTCAAGCCGGATCTTTTGACATCAACTGCTTTTTTGGGTCAGGTCAGGTCACTGACCTATGACGTCATAAGTGAACCTCTGCACGGTCTTCAGATTTCGCAACTTCGCAACGCACTCACTGCCAGAGGAGATGTCACAGGGAAATGAAACTTGCAGGATCTAGTATCCATTATGAGTCTCACAACTTGTATATCTCGGATTTTTCCTTAACCCTCGCCCTGGCAGGGGGGTCGATGCGACCCCCCCCTAAGGTTTTTCGAAGATAGCGTAAAAACGGCGGCGCGCAGCGCCGCCAAATTTAGCACAGCCTATGGGGCAACCTTTTTACATATGACCTGAAAATTTCAGGTCCGGGTGACCTTGGGTCAGGTCACCAGGTCAGAAAAACCGGTACAAGGTCAAGGTCAAATTTCAATTTTCTTTTTGCACCTGTCCAACTCACAGTTTTGCACTGATTTCCTTCAAACTTTCAGGATGTGCTAAGTTCACCGAGTTGTATAACATATAGTTCGGGTTTTTTGAGGTTACCGTAAAGTGGGGCTATTTTAAACGGATTTTACTGTTTTTGGACTCTCCCTTCAAAACGGTTGATATTTCCTATAGCATGTAAATTGGAAAAACGTAGTTCTCTGTAACCGCTTTCAGATAGGTCAATTTTGGTTCAGCTAGTAACCATACATAAATTTATTTTTTTAATTGAAGCCTGTTTCAAATAGCCCCACAGTGTGGGGCTATTTGAGACAGTTTTAGTTGCAAGGAAATTGAAGAAAATTGGTCAAGCGAGGGATAATTCTTTTAAAGCCATGCGATTGGAAATTAAATTTTGATACTTCTGGCAAAAAAATATTTCTTTCAAATACAGTTATATAACCCTTATAATCAAATTTTTCGTTTTTCGTTGGACATAGCATTTCCGTCTGCTAAAAATTGCATTACTTTATGCTAGGGCTGTCATAATATGATGTGATCCTAAGCTCTAAAAATCACAGGATGATTATCTAGGACTATTTCTAAGTAAACGATGGTGAAAGTTTCAAATAAAGTTGTTGTGTTTATATCTGGCGGCGTAAAACATATAGGCCGAAAGTTGGTGGGGCTATTTGAGACAGGCTCGCTACTGCATTAAACGCACCGTAATGCCTTAAAATAGGGAAAGCAGTTTCCAAAATGGTTGAATGAATGATATGCATGATCGATTGCTCCATTGCACATCTACCTGTGAAGAAATCACAGAAAAAGGTCAAATGGTTTTGATTTTATACCGATTTTGCTAGACCACTACATGTTGTATCGACTGGCCGCTTACCGCACTGCATCACTAGTACGCGTACTGAAGGCTCACCTAACAGTAAGTATGGTAAAAAACCTTCAATGGTGCTTATGGTCAACCAGAGAAGACATGGGTCGATTACCGACCACGTCAGTGACTGATGAAACACATTTTATGCACATTGCACATATTCATGATAAAGGTGACTAATATCGTCACATGGTCGTATTAAGTTACAATGTGTAAATATTGCTTGCTGCTAAAAGTACCATGAACCCATGGCCGATTCATCGGTGTTCCTTAGGTCGAACGTTTGATACACCTTAGGCAGATGCCGCAGGGGCGTCGCCACGGATTTTTGACTGGGGGGGACGGATTGGCTGACTAAAAACCCAAAAGTTAGTTAGTTTAGCGTACAATTTCAGGCCTATGCACTACTTGTAACGCATACACAATACACATGTTCTCATGTTCTCGCGTGGAGGCGTTATTAGTCACACTCTTTTCTACCTGTGCATGAATTGGCGGCGCGAAGCGCCGCGAAAATTGGCAAAAACTCTTGGCAATACAGTCCCAAAACGCATAAATTTTGCATCCCGCGTAATAAGTTTGATACCAGGACAGTTAGGGTCTGGTCACCAAGTCCAGCAGCCCTGCCTCTAAAAAATCGTGTGGTCCTCTGTAAACCGCTGTCAACCATAGGTACAGTTTTTTCCAACTTCTGTGCAGTGTAGCTGCAGGACTGCGGGGTCGGAGTCGACTTCGGTCGTAGTCGACGGTTTTGGTCGGATACGGAGTTGGAGTCACCAAAATCGTAACAGACTTCAACTCTGAAGTCAGAGTCAACGTCATCCCCGAGGATGGGTCGAATAAGAGCTGGAGATTCTGTTGGCTGTGGTGATTGTAGGGGTCATGGTAAGACCAATATAGGGGCATACTGAGCATTACGTCCTCCTGGGCTCTCTCAGACCAGGACGAGGTCCTCTCACCCTCAAGCATCAAGCGTTCAAAGGCCATGGTGAGACCTTCTGCTGTCGGATGGCCTCGAACGGGAAGAGGGCCGTTTGAGACTTGAGAGTGAGCTGAAGGTCTTGACTATTACGAATATCCTATGTAAAATGTGTGGTCTCTGCAAGCTGTTGTCCTACTGCACTCTGAGACTTTGGGACAGATCTTCAGCCCTTGTTGGATATGGTCGCCCCTACAACTGGAGCTTTGGCTCCCTATCGACGACCTGGAACGGACAGTCCAGAGCTGCACCTCGTAGACAATGTTATCTTTTATGTGCCAGGAAACGTTCAAAGAGACAAAAGCATCACATCACATGTTTTTTCACTCCGATGCGGGCCGAGGAATGCCGTGGTCGGAGATGGAGCGGGGACTCCGAGCGTTTTTTTTTTTAAGCCGGAGTCGGAATTACCAAAATCATCTACTCCGCAGCCCTGTAAGCAAGGGTACAGTGTCAGCAATTCGCAGATTCAATTTGTATACGAGTAGGTATCCGCAATTTCATCCCAAAACGACAATACACCAATGTCGTGGGTCACTTTTTAAATCATTCATGAGGATATTTTTGCGGGGGACGTCCCCCCGGATTCCTCGACTGGGGGGGACGCGTCCCCCCCCGTCCCCCCCGGTTTCGACGCCCATGGCAGATGGCGTTAAGTCTTTAGGATGCATCATATCACCTGTTTTAGGGCCTTGGGATCACAATCATCAGCTGTACTTTGTATACGTTGAGGTTTGACGAGGTGGGTATCATCGGGATTCTGAGACATCGGGTTACACAATTGTCACTACCGCTAACAATATATAATGTATTCATGTAAAATGTGCTTAGCCCATAAGTAAAACGATAGTAACGATAGATTCGGATGCAAAGTTTTTAAAACTTTAACCATGTTAAGCTGAAGGTAGGGGTGCTTTTCGTATAACTTAAATTCTGGTTTTCCTGTATTTCTCATTTAATGCCAAATTTCTTTCAAATTTTTTCAAAATTTTCAAAAAACCCTATTCATGGAATTTATTGCTAAATTCCACATCAGCTTGAGCAAAAATTGATCAAAAATATCAAACGGTTTTAATTTTACAGCAATTTTACTAAGCCACTGACGTACTGTCTCAAATAGCCCCACTGTCTCAAATAGCCCCACTTTACGGTACTGACCTGAGGTCAGTTAGAGGTCATTAC